AATATAATGAGCTATTTTGTATTGTGATCCACAACATAAATCCATGATGTAAGAAAGGAACCCTGATATCATTTATCTGAGGCCCTTCTTTGTGTGCCTCCTCCATGAGAGGCCCAGAGGGTGGCAACACAAGAACAGGCCTTTTCTGCACTGGCTCCCTGTTTGTGGAATGTTCTCCCCAGGGAGATTCAGCTGGCCTTCGTTATACACCTTTAAGTGCCAGGTGAATGACTTTCTCTTCAACCAGGCCTTTGGCTGATTGATATCCAATGCCCTTTTAAATGTGTTGTGGGAGGGGGTATTATTGGTTTGTTTTTTATCTTATTTTTATTATGTCTTTTGTCTTTTTTATATTATAATTTTATGTTGCGAACCACGCTGAGGTCTACAGATATATAAAAATTTTAAGAACAACAAATAGCACTGAAGCAGCAAAGTGTGGACTAGTAGGTGTGTAAAGGTCATTGTTAATTATACTTTATTTAACTAGATTCCCCCCCTTTTGTATAAAGTGACTAAGTGACATTTAATTGGGGTCTGCATCAACTCTGTGTGTACCTCAACTAATTTAGGTGCAATGGGGGTGATTTATGATAGCCTCTCATGTAACCAAGTCAGATCAAAGCATGTCATAGTAGGTGGACGTGTGCCAACCTTCCATGTAGATCTGCTGCTTTGTTTTCCTCCCCATAAAGTTAAACACACAACCATTTTCTTTCTTTCCCCACGTTTCTTTTCCAATAGATTGGCTCCTCTTAGTTTAGGTTAAAAACATGCAAGCAGAGAAACAAAAACAAGCTCACTGGGGAAATGCCCAGAGTTTGGGTGGAGAGTGGTAGGGTTTCCTACACAAAAACTGCAGGTTGGATCTGTCCAAAATATAGCATACTTGATCCACTCTGGAGGAGCTCCTTTGCCTGTAAATGCCACCCACTTGTGTGAAAAGGGGAACAAAGTTACAGCCACTTTTAGATTCCCCATTACAGTTATTGAAGGGGGCATACCAGGGCTTCAGATTTAACCCATCAAACTTGGACCTGAATAGCAAATCTACCGGTAACTGAAACAAGACAAAGTGGATCTGAAGCAGACCGGGCTGCTTCCAAATCCTTCTGTTTCAGTTAAAAAGAGAAACTTGTGGCCACTGCATACCCCTAGTATTTATAGAACAATGCTGTTTTAATTTTCCTATTGTCTAACGCCACTATAGGCAAGATTCTTAGTACTCAGTTGGGTTTACAGAAAGAATAGTAATCAAGGCTAATGTGCAGATTGGCTAACGATTACTTCCTTCAAATAAATCTCTGTAGGGGTAGCAACTACAATAAAATCAGCAGGATGGATAATGGCTTATCTAAAACAAATTGTTTCAGATAACCATAGGCCACATCCCATTTGTCCTTATTGAGCAAATGGCATTGGATTGTAAGAGCTCGGCCCTGTCATCTGGGTGGGCCTGGCTGCTAAAGACTTCAGAAATGTTGGCATAAGCATTTTGGACAGCATGAATAAATTTGGTCCCAGGGATAGGCTAAGTGAACTTGATAATTTAGAAGAGCAATTGGGAGAATTGGGAGAACAATTCACCTGCAGTTCAAATCAATGGCAAATTAGATCATATCCCTGCTCTAGGTATCTACGGTATATAAATTCTACTACTGTAGCCAGATTTTCCTGGAAACCCTAAACTCAAGCCACACCATGTGGTCCCTCCCCCAGAGGAAATGAACTCTAATGGTTAACAGGGCAATCCTATACAATTCTACTCAGAAGATAGCCACAGTAAGACTTATTCCCAAATAAGTGTGTGTATAGGATTGCAACCCACATATTTTTTTGATGGGAAACTTTCCTGTTCCTATTTGTTAAAAAGCAAAATGTATCTATGGGAAAATAAATTGAACCATAGTTACTTTCATCATTAGTTATCGCTTGGCCGAGTGAGACTTACTTGAGAATTAGTTATTTCTTTAAAAGTGTGTGCATAAGATATCTGCATCTATATCTATCTGGTTCAATATATTGTATTTTTCTATTTTACCCAGGACAGATTTTATAAAATTTACTTGTCCAATTTTAGACAGGACATCCTATTGTCAAACACGGTCTCCTTATTCTGGTACTTGTTACACATGGTTTACTCAGTGCACACTCTTCTGAACAACTGTACTGATCAGGGTTACCAAGCTTTGCTACATAAGAGAAAAGCTGGAGAACGATAAAATATGTGTTGTTAGCTGGAAAACTTCAATGAAACAATTGGTAGTTTCTTCTTGTTCTCCTTCTTGAAAACCTTATTCACTGTTTTTTCATCTTTAATTTCATTTTCCTCAATCAATCTGAGTGAATGTGTTTGTTCCAGGAGATCTACCACATCAATGTTTTTCTCCATTTATAAGTAGAAATCCTAGCATGTATTAGTTTCTGATGCCCCTTTATGAGAATCAACACTGCTGTTCTTACACAGCTTACACAGTTCTTACACTAGTGCTAACAGGGACACTTTGTGCTTGCTTTTCTTCTTCTTACAGTACTTTGGCACCTTCATGATTAGATGGGCAACTTCCTTCCCCTTCACAGCTCATGCTGGATTGAAAATATGGTGAGGTATTTTCTCCCAAATTCAGTTTTTCCAAACTGCCCTGAAGGGCAGAAGATATATGTATCAGATAGGTTTGAAAGCTAACTTCGGAAGGAAGATGAGCCACCTCTAAGCCCCCAGCCCTTTCCACCTATGTTTCCATGAGTCCTCCAATCCCTTTCCCTCTTTACCATTCATCCCACATGCTGGTAGTTGATGGTTGCACTCCAGCATCAGCAAATCATGGGAAAAGGAAAGGAATGGAAGTGTCTCCATTCCGCATGCTATATCTCAAGGCCTTGCTGTAGCCCAATTCCCAACAGTCCCAGCAAGCATGGCCAATGTCCAGGGATGATGAAAGTTGTCATTCAACAATATCTGGCGCGTCAGAGGTTTCCTATACCTGCTGTAGCCTCTTGAAAGTGTAGCTTTCCCAATGGCTTACTGGCATTGCTACTTAAGTAGCCCTTGCATCCAGATAGGCAAATAAAGAGGCAGACACACAAGTTGGGGTTGAACTTATATTTATTTAGAACTTATATTAAAATCAGCAGAGGGAGATGACTATGGGGTGGGAACTAACTTAATTGGATAACTATAGCCATTGGGTGACCCACCCTTGCCTAAGGAATTAGGGCACAGCTCTCTAGCCTGCCCTGTTTCCTGGCCCATACTCTGAAGGTGAGAACAGAGACTTTGCCTCATCATGTCCCTGGGACTGCAGCGCTCCTAGTGGATGAGGAAGTTTGGCCTCAAAGGAGGCCCCTATCCCACCCACTGAACTGTGGAGTCTGAGAAGTGAGCCTCAGGGCTGACCCATCACCTGAAAGGTGCCTAAAGGGTGTCACTAGCCTAAACCGAACTATTTCTTTTCCTGCACCCACACTGCCCAAAGCAGGCATAGGCAAACTACACTTCCCATCATCCCTGACCACTGGTCCTATTAGCTAGGGACAATGGGAACTGTAGTCCCAAACATCTGGAGGGCTGGAGTTTGCCTATGCCTGGTCCAAAGTGACCAAATCAAGAAGATTAACCTACTGAAACAACACAATAGACCATCTAGCACTCTGTCCCTCTATTCAGTGCGAAGTAGGCAAAGAGCCAATTTGCAATCCAAAATGCAGTTTGGGGGAAAATCCTATGTGGTAACCCCAAAGCACACTGGGAGGGAGGGAGGGCACTGCTGGAGAGAAGACAGACCATCCTTTAAGTAGGGATCAAGCCCTGCCTTCCTCCTCAGACCATCTTAGGAATATACCAAATGGCACTAAGGATTTCCTCGCACTGCCTCTCTTGCTCCAGTAGCCCAGAACAGTGCACCTCCATCTCAGTTCCATCTAGCCTATTTCGTGGAATGTTCTTGGGGAAAATGCACTTCCCAGGGGCTAGGCACATTGCCTTGCACATCACTATGCACCAGCCAAAAAGGAGGGGGGGGAGACCTTCTTCCATCTCCTTGCATGCTCTTGGGGGAATCTGAGTGCTTGCTCTTTGTCTTGCTGTCATGTGCCAAGCACTGGCTATGGAGTATGCCAAATTATGCTTCCCATCTCATGCTCCAGATCCAAGCTGGCAGAGTCTTTGCTCTATGAAGCATGCCGGATTATATTTTTACATGCTCTAGAAATCCCACTGGACAGAAGAAACACTCCTATCCTACCTTGCCCCCTCCCCACTCCAAAGTTTCTCTCTCCCTGAAAAAAAAGTGGGGGGCTTCTCCTCACATTACATCCCCCTCTGCATGCCCTGAGCTGGTGAATTAACAGCTGGTTGAATTAACAATTTTATCAATTGTCACAGTTATTTAATGTGGAGAAAACGGAACACAATCTTTTCTTCATGCTACTCTCCCAAAAGGACAATCTGCAATTTGTTTCGTCACTTGCCTGATATTGCTGGTAGGTTATTTTAATTAATATTTAACTAAACTCTACTTTTCTCAGTGTTCTCTTTTACTGTTCTCCGTCTTTTTTATTTGAGCCTCTTAAATATTTGATGGTTATTCTTCTTTTCCCAGACTTGCCAGCGAAATTCAGAATAAATTGGGCTTTGGGTTGATTTTGACACTTTAGACAATTCAGAATCCTGTTTTGATAATGTTGCAGCCACAGCAAAGTCTGCTATTCTTTTGATGCTACATGTTCGTCAGGACCTTAAGAACATAAGAAGAGTGTTTCTGGATCAGACCAAAAGTTCAGCTAATCAAAGCATTACATTAGGCAACACAATGCTTATGGGAAACCCATAAGCAGAACTTGAGTGCAGCAGCAGAGTCACAGCAAAACTCTCCCAAACTTGTGCTCCGCAACTACTGGCTCCCATCCTGGTAGTGAGACACAGCTTTTGTGGTTTGTTACCATCACTTCATCTTGCAGAAGCAAATTCTATAGTTTATTATGCACAGTATGAAGAAGTACTTTTGTCTGCTGTGAATCTCCCAACGTGCATTGTCATTGGATGGCCCCCACGTTCCAGCCTTAAGAGAGAGCAATAAAAACTATTTACCTTCTCTACACAAGACATAATCTTATACACCTTTATCATACCTTCCAATACAAAGTGTCCCCAAACCAGGGTGCTATCTTCTGGGCTCTCACTCCCATGTGTGTCATGTGACCCACACGAGATTGTGGCACAAGGTTTTTTTGGGAGGTGGAATCTTGCACATGTTTTGGGGTGGTGTGCAAGATTGTTGCCCCCCAAAAGCACTTTTTTCAGGGCAAGAGTGCAGTCTGAAATAGAATAAGATTGCTGCAGGCATTTTGGCCCCCATCTGCTTGTGAGAAAAATTGGGACGTCCCATTTTCCAGGACAGTTGTTGGGTATGCTGTAGTATACTCCCCTAAAGGCTGTAACCATTTCTCACAGGGAAAAGTTATATTGTTGACACAGTAGTATGAATGATGACTATATATTCTCATTGTATTTTTCTTTCCACATTACCTAACCTGCCCCCTAAATTATAAGCATGTTCATTATATTTTAGCTTCTGAGACCAAGCATGAGTATGACCTAAAAGCCAAATCTGCACTCTTGGACGACAAAATGTTTTCAAAATAGGTATAATTTTTTATGTTAAGGTTAATTTTTTTGGTGTTGATTCCAAGCCAAATATGCAAGCAGAACAGCAAAGTATTTATGCCCTCTTGTGACTACAAAATCATGATGCAGTATGATTGCATTGAAAAACATGCAGACAATGTATTTCTGCAACAGAACCCACAGAAAGACTTACCTCTGCAGCAGCAAGGAACGTTGCAGAGGAACAAAGCTACGGGTACAGTAAAAGGATTTAACGAAAAACCATAGTCTGGGCTCACCTCCTTTTCACGACCAGAAATCTACATAGGGGCTCAACTTTACATGACACTAATTGCAACCTCACAGGGAAACAATAAGACGATAGGCTAGCCACAAGGCTGGGTGAATGGCCGCCACATTTATTGATTTAAACAGCCACAGATCGGCAGTGGTGACAACTGTGTGGGATTCTAACTAACTGTGGGTGAGCTCACTCCGGTAAGAGAGGGAGGCGGCTGGGTGGGGTGCTATTTTCTGTTTTGCCTCCAGCAGCAAAATGGCTTGGGATGGCTCTGCGTACTGCCTCCAACCATGGCCTCCTGCCGCAGTCACAGTGTAAATTGCCCCCCTTCCACCATGTCACAGTTAGGTTTAGGAAAAATAGTCCTGCTAATGCCATATTCTAACAGTTTTCCCTAGAAATGCTCTCCTCCTGTATTGGAGAAGAATTTTCTAATAGTTCTTTGAATGGAGTAAGGCCATACCTTTTAGATGGCAGCTTCTCAGACTCCCAACTGTGTGGCGAATTTCATTGTTGGTTTTGCTGCAGTGGAGTAATGCTGTTGCAGCCTGTGGAAATTCTGCCCTTTCTCCTTTTTGAAAACCTCAGTGTTTCCATCAGGAACATGTCTGTGTCTGCATACATGCCTTTTTTCCTAGGAGCTCCTGTCTTCATCCAGCAAAACACTCTTTGCTCAAGCAGAACAAATAAGCAGAATAAATAAAAATGATGGATCTATATACCCTGGGGTTGGCTTCCACACGCTCAAACAAAAGACACACAGGCATTCTTTGCCATCTTTGTATCAGGCTAGTATCAGGTTACTCTATGAGCCTGACTGATGTCATACAGACCCTTTTGTGGCCATCACTCCAACCCTCCAACTCTAAATTAGTTATTTGTACATGTACAATAAATCCTCTAGTTTTGATTGGACTCAATTAGAAGGATGCTAATTATGTGTGTCGCTAGCTCTCATCATGCGACTGAAGGTATTTTAGGTAGTAAGTTAATTATTGTCTAAATCTATTGGGTACAAAAGTGTCAAGGGCCTTGACGAAACAGGAGTCACTGGCGTTCATCACCAGTGAAAAGATTTTCATGCTGCTGAAATTACGGATGTTGTGTCATCCTTTTTCCTGGAAACGGCTCAGTGACAGTGATTTTGGTAATTAGGCTTATTTCTGTAAACTCTTTTGCTTTTTTTTAATTTGAAAAAACCCACTGCTGATTTACACAGCAGTGCACATAGCTGTGTTCCATGTGCTCTTTTCAGCAACTTCCCTTGCAATCTGGATCCTCAGGAATGTGCCATATCTTGGGGAAATGCTATGTGTAGAACAGCAGTGGGGAACCTTTGGGTTTGTGGGTCCAATCTGGTGCACCAGGCTTTCTCATCTGGCCTGTGAGGCCACTTTGGCAAAGCCATGCCCATCTGCCCTATAGCCAGTGCTTCCCCCCCCCCACCTAAAAAATGCTTAGGGGTACTCTTATTTTCCTACTCATATTTGAAACACTGCCTCTCAATGAGGCCAAACTTAGATTCACAAAATGTTTAGGGGTATGTGTACCCCTGCATCCCCCCAGAATAAAAGCACTGCCTATAGCTGATGTCATATATAATGTCAGGTGTGGGGCAGGCAAAGAGCTGACTGGCACTGACATGTTCTAGCACTGCCAAACAGCTGATCATCAATGTTTGCAAAGTGCTGTGCCTTTGCGCAGTTTGATTTCAAAGGAAAAATGGGTCACTGGAAGTTGCTGTTTTTTCAAGTAATTGACAGGTGGGGCCCACTTGCCCACCTGCCAAACTTGTCCAATGGGGTTGGAGGATGGGAAGGCAAGGCAAGGGTCTATATCCAGTTCTCCATCCCTGGTGCAGAGGCTGAACCCACCTGGAGCACTTAGTTACCCTGAAGCAGAGGTGTAGGAAGGTCAGGTGGTACCCGGAGCAAAAAAATTCTTGTCATCCCCCCCACATTGATTTTTTTTTTTGCCTGCAAAAATGGTTTTATGTTATTTCCTATTTTCTTACAAAGGAATGTGGATTCTGAGCCTCTGATAACAAGTAGGTGACTATGGACAGATACTTAAATCTACAGGATGGATTGTGTTTTGGCTTGTGTTATTTTATTTATATTTATTTTATTTATTTTAAAAAACCTGCAAAAACAAAAAACAAAAAAAAACCAACACCACAGCAGTAAAATCAAGAAAAATTAACAATCCTACTTTAAAACATACAAAGCTAAAATAGTAAGATTAAAATTACTTCAACTTCCTAAGCATCTAGGTATGCTTGCCTACAGAAGAATGCTTTTAGCAGGTGCCTGAAAAGAGTCTAGCAAAGGCCTGTGCTTTGTTGAAATTTCAGCCTTCACGACATAGGAAAGTGGCCAAGTAAACAGCTATTTTCATGGAGGAGGGTCAATATATTAACTGATATGCATGAAATTTCATATGTAGCTATATAATCCCTAGTGTAGTAAGATAAGACCTTTGGAGCAGGCATTTTTTAAAAAAAGTTTTTTATGAACCGCCCTAGTAGGGCAGTAATTATTCCTTGATAATTTGTCAACCCCTCCATGATGGCACTGGGGCGGCCCACCCCCCTTCCCCCTTTCCTACGTCCCTGCCCTGAAGAGCTGAGTCTTAAAGCAATGCAGTGCCTTTTTCTGATTGGCATTACCCCATTCTTAGAAGGAAGAGGAACGTAACAGGGCCTTCCTGAGGTCTCAGCAATGAAGAAAGACAAAACTGGCACCAGGATAGTGTGTTCCTTGCATTCAGCATCTCATGCAATGTACCAAACTTCATAATTCTCTCTCTCTCTCTCTCTCTCTCTTCCTTGCCTGTGCTCTTCTCCAGCATTGTTTCATAGGAAGGATGCAAATGCCTGAGGATAATCGTGTTTGCAGCACAATGCAGTTTACAAGTATGAGCTCAGCAGCAGGTTCCCCATGCAACGGATTGGCCTGTGCTAATGTGAATGTGCTCACCTCCCCTGCTGGAGCTGAGAGACAGTCACAGCTCCTAGATCTTCATTTAAAAACTGTCAACATTTTGCATGCACTTTCCAACGGGTTGTTTACAGCACTGCCTGCAGAAAACACCAAATTGTACACTGGAGGGAACCAAAACTGCATCCAGGGGGCTGTTTTACTGAGCATTTAATGAGAGACGTTAAAAAAACCATAAGCTGATGTATCCACCTCCCTCACTTTGAGGGTATAGCCATCTCCCACTCCTGGCAGTCAAGCACCATTCACCTACTACTGTGCCCAACACATGGAGTGTAGCCTTTGTTACATGGAGTGCTCTCAAGGAACAGGCAGAGCAAATGGATTTGGTTCAGCGTTTAACTCTTGCTGGCTGGGGTTGATGAGAGTGGTGGTGCAAAATATGTGGAAGGTACCAGATTGGTGAAGGATGGAGTAGTAAGACAATGTGATGGGAATTAGGGAAGATAGGCAGCACATTGCATTTCTTGTGGCACCTTTGATCACTTGCAAGGCTGGTAGATTTATTTCTCTTTGTTTGGCTACTCCAGTTGAGGATGAAGGATAATAATTAGCTTCCTTGTAAAGTGCAAGCCTTCAAAGGGAAATTAGAGTGGCAATCCTATTCTTGCTTACCTGGGAATCAGTACTATTGATCCTAACAGGTTGGCATGCATAGGGTTTAGGAACAGTAGAGGTATTTCTATTAATTCTGATGTGAACTGATCAGATTGGTTTCTCCTAACTAATGTGGAGATTGGAATGTAATTATCCTTCAGATTTTGCAGTTTGCTGGATTTTGCAATACACTTTGGTCTCAAAGTTTTAATAAAATGCAGCTGAAATGCATATTTTAGGGGGAAAATGGGTGAGATTCGCCTAAGGAGCTCCATCATAGACATCTGCTTGTACAATGTGCCTTCTCCTTCCCCTGCATGATCTATTCCTGAAGTTGTTTGTATGTGTGTATGTATGTAGAGTCATGGCAGCAGGTCCCTCCCCTGATCAGCTCTTCTGCACAAAGCCCGCTGTCAAGATCCTGCTCCCCTTTCTATGTTTAGTATCTCCCCTCTGATATAAGAACAGGGCTCATGATGTAGAAATCAAAACCACATTTGGTCATAGGGGTCTCACTCACTGGCTTTGCTTATGATCTCCATAGTCCTGAACCCCTGGCCTACCTGGCAGCAAGTCACTATGTCAAGTCCAAAATTCAAAGCCCAAGTTCCAAAGGTCAGGAAACATGCTAGCTGCATCATCTGGTCTCGATGAAGCATGTGACCCTCACCTGTTCCAAGCCTACTCCAGCTGAGGAATCACACCCCTCCTTCAGAGCTAGCGAACCCCACCTGGCCAGCTAGGGAGCTGAGCTGTGGGCCCTTGCCTGTCTCAGCCTCCTAGAGCGCTCCTCCCACTGTTGCCTACAGCTCAGAGCCCACCATGTTCATGGAGACAGGGGCCCCTCTGTCTCTAGTGATGGATCCTGTTGCTCTGGTTCCTGTGCATTGACTCCCATCCCCTCACCATCCTCCATCATCCTGTGAATACTTCCTTCCACATTCCCTGCTTACCCTGGTGTGTCCCAGTCCTGGTTACTCCGCTTGCCGGGATCCTCTTCCTCCTTCCTATCATCCTGCCAGTTCATGGCATCCATGCACTCAGCTGAAGGCATGAACAGGGTTGCAAATGTACAGTGTATTGTTCTGTATGAGCAATTTGGGTCTGTGTCTTCAGTGGGGTTCCAAAGGCATGGAGAACTTATGGATCGACAATGCCACACAACGGGCTCTGGTGAGAGAGAGAGAGAGAGATGCTGGCAGCAGCATGCAGAACCGAATGCTAGAGGTAACTATGTAGGCAGCAATGCAAGAGAGGTTGGCTGTGAGAAGGAGGGCTGGTTTGATGGGCAAGGAGGTTGTGTTTGTGGTGCTGAGTTAGTGAGGAAGTGGAGGTTGTGCCCTGAAGTGAGGAAATCCTCGTCTCTCTCGTAGGGTCCCTATTTCATCAGAATGCATTCCCTTTTGCATCTAGGCAGGCAGCCACAGTTTCTTCCGTTGTACTTCCCAGAAGGAAAAGAAACACGATTCTATCACCCGCTTCCAGGGAACATAAATAAGTCTGTAAAGGTGGCCTGGTTTTACAGGGGCCATATATCTGACTCCAACGCTACCTCATTAGCTAAAGCATTTTATGTTGCTATCAATAATGCAGGTTGCTAGTCAGGTACTAAACCAAAGTGCTGGAGGAGGATGGCATGGGAGTGTGCTGAGAGAGTGTATTTAATGCTTTAGAGATATCAGATCAGAAACAACAGGCCTGGGAGATCCCTGGCTAGTTTCATTTCAGCCTCTAGTCTGAATTGTTATAGCTGTTGACTGGCTCTCGAAGCAACCATCCTCCAGGGCCTCTAGACAGGTTGGTCTCTCCAGGCAGCTTCAGTAGCTGGTTATAAGAATTTGGGAAAGAGAGATTATAGTGGAATGGTGCCACAGATTCAGAGAGGAGACTTTCCCCCCAGAAGCTGGGGAAGACAGGGGTGAAGTGGGTTATGGTGGTGACAACCTCAAGAATACTATCCTTGTAATTTGCATTGGTGCCATAAGCAAATGCCTGCCAAGGTGCTGACCCTACCATTAGGCAGAGCAAGGCAACTGCTTCAGGTAGCTGATTCTGGGTGTCATCAGAAAGCAGCAATTTGTATTTAACTGGAGAACCAGTGTGGTGCAATAATTAGAGCGTGTTGACTAGGATGTGGAAGACCAAGGTTCAAATCCTCACTCGGCTATGAAGCTCACTGGGTGACCTTGGATCAGTTAATGACTCCCAACCTAATCTACCCTACAGGCTTGTTGTGGGGATTAAATAAGGAGGAGTTCCATGTTTAGAGCGAGTCTTGAACAGTTATGCAGTTAGGTAGACTCAGCCTGGACTTCATAGTCTTATAGGAGGCTTCCTTCTTTAGATGGTGATGTATTTTCTTTAGTTGCCTGGTGGCAAGCCAGTTCTGCTGCATCTGGGGCCCTCCTACTCATTCTGCTGTGCGATGCCATGGGCTCCTGCCCTGATGGTGCCCCTTCACTTTACATTAAAACCACAAACAGTGTTGTAGCATGGGGCCTGCGTCCTCTCTGCAGCAACTCCCATTTGGTGAGGGCTGCTGCTGCGCTTGGGAAAGGAGATATCCAGGAATGGCTCCCATCTATGGCACCATTCCCTTCGGCACCTTGCTTCCCACGCAAACAATGACACTAATGGGTGCTAATTAACCGATCAATAGTATTAAGCTATCCAGTGTCTCTGAACATGCTAATTGTCAATCTGCTTATGGAAAGCCAGTGCTGGCAGGCAGGCAGGCAGGCAGGCAGGCAGGCAGGCAGGCACTGGATTTCTCAGAGGTGGGCGAGTGAAACTGGCAGCCTGCTGGAAGCATAACAGATAGTGCAAGCGCATGAGAACTGGCCAGCAGCACCACTACTGAGGCCTGGAATTCCTGCAACTCTTTATTTTGGCTTGAGTGAGGCAGGGCGAGATTAACTATGGCTCAGGATTTATTACTGAGGAACTGGTAACACGCTGCCATTACGGCTTCGTTCGCAAGGTTCCAGCTCCATCCTTCCAGCCTGGCAGGAGGTGGGTGCAGATTTCCTTCTGTTTCAAAGAGAACAAGCTGTTGAGAAGGGCCAATGCGGTGCTTGCCAGGCACAGCAAGATGTGATTGTCAGGGTGTGTGTCTGCACACTGCTTCCATCGCATTAGGTGGAAACAGACTCCAGCTCGGTCCAGGCAGTTCACTTAACCACAGAATGTGCTGATGACAGACAGCGTGGGAGTATAGCCAGCCATATACTTTTGCTGCATAGGCTGTTATGTGCTGTTTGTTATTCAAAGCATAGGATAATGACAGCGCAATGGTAATGATCTTGAAATAGTAGAATACAATGGAACATGGGGAGGGTAGCCATCTCAATTTGGTTTTTCTTGCCTCAAGGCCACCACCCTACTCTATTCTATGAATGGGAGGTGGATCAGGATGGGGGAGGGAGGGGTTGTAGCTGCTGTGCGATTTCAGGGTCTTGGGACTCTTCCATAAGTCTCTACAGAGACTCTACAAGTATACCGAGATCAGTTTGATTTTCCACTTAGGGTCTATTGAGAAATTTCCTATGCAATTATATGCTGCCAGGTGAGCTCTTGTAATACACTCCTGGGTTCTTGTGATGCTTTGGGAAACATCTTCCACATACTTCAAGACTTCGTCTGTACCAAAAATTATTTTCTCCCAGCCTGGACTATTATTGTTCATTCAATTCTAAGTGGACATGGCTTGCCATGAGTGGTAGGATGGTTTATTATTTACAGGCAAATTCACTTCTAGGGAGGGTGCCAGGTGCCTGGGCCCATGGATGATGCCTTGCTGAGGCCCCCCCTTGATATTTTTTTCTGACCCAGTACTCTGAGCGACATGAGGTGGCTAGATCTGGCCACTCTTTTCACTTTCCACAGTGCCCCAGTCTAGAGCTGCACTGGGACATAGTGGGAACTTATAAGGGTGGCTAGACCCAGCCACTTCCCAGGACAGTTTGGGAGCAATGACATGGCAGTCAAAGTCCCCTGACAAAGGAGGGGGTCTCACCAATGGGAGCCTTTTCAAACCTGGAGCTGGCCCTGTCTACATCAGGTTCAAAACCTCAGCTATAGCTAATGCAAAACATGCATGTATGAAACAGAACCCCTTGTCTTGTTATATAAGGGACCATAAGATGGATCTTTGACCAGGAGTGAGTTTTAAAAATGAACTTGGTTTCTTTCAAGATCATCTGCCTGGTAGTTGCAACGATTCTGTGTGAAGCTTCATTCATGCTATTCTTAGCAAATATTCCCGCTCTCTTTCACTTCCAACCAGCAGCCTTAGAGGACACAGAAAAGTCAGAGACCCCATGAAGTTGTATGGCCTGTACGTGTCCAGAGTTGCCTCTGTTCTTCAGTATCAAATTCCAGTTAAAGAATTATGCCTTTGGGCAAAGGTGGGGGTTTGCTTTGACCTCTAGAGCCAAGAATCTCTTTCCCCAACTTCATGTCATCCCATGAGCATGCTTCAGGTGGTCAAGAAGTTAACTGCCCTCCACCTGGGAAACATGTGCCTTTCCACGGAGAAGCGACTCTGAGTGAACTGCAAAGTGCATTAGCATGAAAGTGACGGTCTAAAAGTAAGTCAGGAATATTTAAAAGGATAATCTAACCCAGGGAAGGAATCCCCAGGCAGAGAGGATGCACCAGAAAAGCTGTTAGCAGCTGAATTATTCATCCGCCAAGCTTTACCCCCATCTTTCCCTTCTGGCTCACCGAGACGTCAGAATCAGTGGAAGCCGGCAGGAGAGAGTGGGGAAGGTAATAAAGAAAGAACTGGGACACTTAGCAGAGGGACACCTGGCTGCTGTTTGCTTTAGAAAATATTTGGTGATGTAACTGGGAATAACAGAAGTAGTATACTGGCTGTGTGCTGTCTCAACAATTGGAGGTGGTGAATACCAGTTGCTGGGAACTACAAGTGGAACGAATGCTGATGCACTCATGTCCTGCTTTATGGGCTTCCCACAAGCATCATGTAGGTCATTGTGAGAATAGTGGGCAGAACAAGAGGGGCCTCTGGTCTGACCCAGCCTGGTTCTTCTTAATTCCTACTGGGTTACAGGGAAGGAGGAAGTTCTACTTTTTGCTTCGTGGAGCTGTAAATGTGGCAGGGAAGCATGCTTTCTAGGGTAGAAGTTGAAAGGTTGGCAAGCAAGAAAGGATCTTGCTCTGTTCCTGTAATGAGAAGGCATCCACTTGTCCTTATCTGTCTGGCTGTTGTGAGCAGGAATTCTTTAAACTCTCATGATTTGTGCTTCCTAATTACATGCTACTATGCTGTTTTTTTTAAACCTGCTGTTTGCTCAGATTGCAGCACAATGGAAGGAAGATGAGGCACAAACAAAGAGAGGAGAGCTCAGCAAAATATGTGCAGGGGACCTGCTTACCAGTTCTCTGAGGGTGCTGTAGGGATTCCTTATTTTACTGATTTTTCCCTTTGTGTTCACATTCCAGGGCTCCTGTATCTGAGTCCAGGAGCAATGGGCTAAACAGGAATACGCCTCCCTCCGTGACAATGTTCAGCAATAACATGCATTAAACCTGCTTACTTTGAACTGGTGACCATTTATAAGGGCTCTCTTCCTTCCAACAATACATTCAGAAATGCTGGATGATGTGTAAAAGATCAGACTGAAATATTCTTGGGCACTGTGCAGAGCACGCATAATCACCACCTTGAGGCAATCCAGAGTTCTTGCCTTTAAACAGGGAACTGTTCCCGCCCTCTGTGCTTCTTGAGCAAGGACAGCTGCCATAGATACTACAAGTCAGGGTCATGGATGCTGGAGCAAGTCTCATTTGCTGGACATTGTTTCTCACCTGCAAAATGCAGCATTCATACGAGAGGCAGGGAGGCACCCACGAGTCCAACCAGGGAAATCTGTGTGCATGGGCACCTGCATGAACCCCATTCTAAGTACCAGAAGTCTTCTAAGCAGAGGCACGTGCCTTTTTAATATTCTTGAGCTTTAAGTCCGTAAATCCATTGCAGTGCTGAAACCATGTGATTGATTAATGCAGAGCAGAGCTTCCCACTTTTGCAATGTTCTGAGAAGATACAGAAGATGCACATTCTGCATTGGTCAGCTTGTTAGGCAGATGCTCTTTTCCTTTCCATGCATTAATAGCCAGGCACTCCTCACCCCCCCCCCCGATCCCATTTCCCATTCTTACGCCATGAAACTCAGAGCAGCACACCCTGGATCATCCTTACCACAACCCTGCGAGAAAAGTTTGTGGTAGACTTACCCAAGGCTACCCAGTCAGCTTCAAAGCTAAGCAGGTCTGAACTAGGTCTCCTGGGGTCCCAATTCAACACTACCCACAATGCCACACCAGCATTGCCCATAATGGCAACGGGCTCAGATGAGTAATTATTTTTCAGACACTGCCTCAGTGATTTGCAGTTTGTCAGTCTCATATTACTTAGTTCAGTAGGATCTATATACTGTATTCAATTCCTTTATGGTTTCCATAGAATCATAAAGTTGGAAGGGACCCTGAGGATCATCTTGTCCAATGCAATGCAAGATTATGCAGCTGTTCCATACAGGGATCAAAGCTGCAACCTTGATGTTATCAGCACGATGCTCTAACCAACTGAGCTATAGCCCTAAAAATTGCAGATCAACTTACTTGTGCCACTTGATCAGCATCCCCCCCCTTTTTTTACTTTCTCCAGGTTGCGATGAGCAATAAATGAATTATTCCAACGCTGCTGGTCTGGTAGGCTTAACAACTAAGAGTACTTCTTAGTTGTTCCTTCAGCTTTTGTTCAAGTGCTCAATATGTGTTAGAAGTATCTGGTGCATCACTTGTACTCCTGGACCCGGTGTTATGTATGGAAGCACAGGTGACCTAAGTGGCCTGCTTTGGCTGATTTGCTAACAGTGACCCTATAGGGAGAAAATGAACTTTCCCTCTGTTACATATGTACTGGCTATATCCCAGCTAGATACAGTAATGCTCTACACATAGGACAAAGGCCAGGGGAAGAGGTGCGTATGCGTGAGCTGGGCTCCAAGCAGGTGACAGGCAGAAGCCTAAGGGTGAGAGCCATGCTTGATTTCTGCTTGAATCCAAGGCTGCAGCTATGAGAGAAGCAGGACCACCTGGGCTGTTAATGCTGTAAGCCCCTGTCCATTGTAGGCTCAGGTTGGAGGTATATTGAAGTAAACCATAAATCATAAAGACACCACAGTCTCTGCTGCCCCTCATTCCAAGGGAACTGAACCCTGGCCAGCACCTGGGACCCCTGGCATCTCACACCACTTGGGGACTGGGATGGCATGCAACAATTTGTTTTTAATTTGACATTGTTTTGTTTTTAACTGTTTCATCATAAGTCACCTTGTGAAGACTTGTCTTGAAAGGCACAGTAGAAATATTGCAAGCAAACAAACAAATCCTCCTGTTCATTGCAGGGGGCACCTACAACTGTTCCTGGAATCCATCATTGCCACTACACTGGCATACAAACCGCCACAGTGATCTCATTAATAGGGGTCAAAGCTGATGTGAGAGCAGAAATGGGAAGACCTTTTTGTAAGTACACATCATTTCCCAACTGATTTGAGACCATCTCCAAGCTGCCGCAGAGGTTGGAGGCAGCTGTGAATGGGGAGGATGGGTGGGTATTAACAGAAGCCAGTTTGGGGGCTAATTGAACTTCTTGTCCCCTGGCCAAAACACACCTTCATCTCCTTGCTTCTGGAACCCACGTCATCTGAGCATTTTAACATTGTGCCAAGGCCACTTGATAGGCCTTTGAAATGGTGATCAGTCTTTCGGATGCTTCAGCACCACTTAAATCTATAGTTCGCATATTCTGGCTCAACCCATGTTTCAAGTGGTTTAAGAAATCCACACTCCCAAGAGACTATGCTAGGGAGCACAGCGGACAAGACAAGCCACCGTACCAAGGCGTTCCACTTCGGATGGCACCGTGGTAAGATCGAATGAAAAGCCCCAAAGCCCTTTTGGTTAATTTTTAATGCAACAGATAATCTCATTCAGGTTAATGTTTAGATCATACCCTTTACCTAGGCTGAATTTCACTGTAGGAGAAGCAATTCCTGTTGCTTTCCCTTTTCCCTTTCTGTATGTCACCTGCAGAGCATTCATGCAGCCGTAAATGCTACGCTGGAGAATTGAGTTAAAAACAATACGATGAAAGGATGTAATTACATATGTTAAGAGCTGCACACATGCAAGAAAAATACCACATAGGCGTCCTTGCCTAATCATTAGGCCCTAATGTGCAATGCTGCACAAGGTGCTTGGTTGGATATGAGTGTAAGAGAGGTACCTCATGATGACTTTTCCCAGGTTTTAATTGGAGTGAGGGTGGGTGAGTATGCAGCACCTGAGATTGGTGCATTGATTTTTTTTAAAGGGAAAGCCTTCTCTTTATCTTTTTTTTTTTTTTTAAAAAAACCCACTTATGAAAATGTCAACCCCCCCCCCAAATATTTTTGAATGCAATTTATTTTATTATTAATTGATGAGGCATGGTTTAAAAATGCAGGAGAAACATTTGGCACAGTGCTCCAAATTATGCTAGTGTCACGTTTTTCAATGACTTGGTCATACTTTTACTAATGGCACCTAAAGCATAACTGCACCTATGTTTTTGCATCTTTAAACTGCAGTGCTTCTGGGCAGGAATCAGGTCACTTCTGCATTCTCTATATATCACATACCTAGATGAAGACTCTTAATAATATGTCTGAATATAGCCATTGTTCAATATATTTTAAGAAGTGTTTTTTAAAACAACAGCAATATGAAAACCATGGTCTTTAGGAATCCAGATTCCTAACAGGATCCCAGATTTCCCATGGAAATAAGAGATAATAAATAAGACTTAATTAAGAGTACAGATTAGGTTAACTATCAAGCATTATCATAATAAGATTTGGACAGGAGCATAGATTACTAAGCAAGTGTGTGAATTCTCTGTTGGATGCCATTAAAAATATGTACAACAGTTGCTACAGATGATTTGCATATAACTGACTTTGGATAGAGAAATAGAGCTATTTAACAGAACAATGTCAATGGTTTTAAGACTGTGATCCACACAGAGCACAGCACAGTTATGGATAGAATTTGACATCTATCTAATTTTCAACTTGTTGAGATTGTGTCTAGACTGAAATGTGTCTTTGAAAAGAAGCACTGAATCTTAGGCGCATTGGTATGTTTTTCCTTATGTTGTGGTTCAGGGTTCACCAGACCATCACTGATTTTTGCCTCACTTTCATAACTGTAAAAAGGGAAGGATGATCCTTTCTGTCATTCTCGCTGTCCATCTTGACACTAAACATCTTTTGTTCTGTTTGGTACCACTGCTTGTATCTTTAGCGCAGGTGGATCCAGCAAACCCTTGCAATAAATGGAACTGGCCCAGCATGCGAAGCAAGCTGGGAAGAGAAAGGAATTGCATACCTGGAAGCCATTTATTATTATGATCAATGCAATGAATATTTATCTACCTCAGCCTTGCAAAAATCATGTGGAAAATTTACCAGTCGAGTCACAGAATCTCTTCAGCTACTCTTTTACAATAATGATGAAAGGAAAACTAATAACATTTTACTCGCCTGTCATAAAAATATTATTTGCCAGAAGTGAGCTAAGTTCTGCAACACTGCGCTACCTAGAGGACACATGAGGAGTTCAGAACAGTTTGAACAGGTAGAAAAGAGGAAGACATGGACTGCAATGAGTAATAAAATGTAGAATCTCGGATGCTGCTGGAAGCTCTGGGGCAGAGATGGGGAACTTGTGACTCTTCAGATGCTGTTGGACTCCAACTCCCATTAGCCCCAAACAGCATGACCAATAGCCAGGGGTGATGGGAGCTGTAGTCCAAACAACATCTGGAGGCCCACAAATTCCCCATTCTAGTTCTAATGTGGCCATTTTCCTTTCTTCCTTCTTCCTTCGAATTTGTAAGGATCTACAGCAGTAAAAGAAGTGACCGCTTTCTTTGCTTGGATTCAGATCCAAAAATGGCCAAATGGCATGATATGAGTTTGTAGATCATTGCAATGTCTGAAGATTGAATGTTGAGGCCTGATTGTGGTAACAGACTCTACCACTTTGCCATTTTCTCCTTAGAAATTTCATATTCCCCACAGGCAACACAATAAGGCTCACTAGCTAGTGTGAAATTAAGAATTACCTAAAGTTTTTTTTTAAGGGTTTTGTTCAAAACAGAATCAAATGCATAACTAGATGTGTAATAATATAAACAACAACAAAAGAACTCCAACATACCAGAAGGTGGTAAATGCAAAGGCCAAAACACTCAGGACTCATTCACATGATACATTAGCAGTGTGGTAGGTCTCTTATAATAAAACTGTTTAGGTGCTGTAACACTTTCTGAAGCTGCTTGTGTGAAGGAGCCTTTTCAGCCAAGTTACCACCATAAATGAATCTGTCAATTTAAATTTGTCTCAGTCTTTCATAAATCTAGTCTTAAGTTCAACTTGCCATGGGTGGGTTCAACATGCCACTGGGTGCAGTCAGGGTATAATGAACACATCTCTGCATGAGAATGTGGTGCTATTATCTATGATGCTATTTAAGATCCACATGAAACCATTGGGAGTGGTCAGTAGCAGTTTTGGAGCAAGGTGATAATCAGGATACCTTGACCGCAGTTTTCCATGCATTGGTAATCTCATGGCTAGATTACTGCAATGCACTCTGTGGGGCTACACTTGGAGTTGGTTGATAGGTTGCTTGTGGTGGCAAGTTCAAGGTGTTGGTACTAACATACAAAGACCTGTGAAGCTTAGGACCAGGTTACTTGAGACACTTTCTCATCCCTTATATACCCAGTAGATCCCTGTGGTCTGCAGGCGAGTTTCCAGAGATCTCACATGCCTTCTCTGTAACAACTCAGAGTAGGGCTTTTAGTGTTGCTGCTCCTGTTCTGTGGGATAACATTCCTGTCAAGATGGGACAGTTTTCCAGTAGCTGCACTTTCCAGAAACAATGGGTGGTATTTTTTGTTTCAACAGGATTTCTTAGCTGGATAAATGGGTCTTTTACTGCAAGTGACTGCTTTGTATCATTTTAGTCTTGCTTTAAATGCATTTGCTGTTTTTTTTGTTTTTAACTGTCTTTAAATTGCCTTGAGACAGTTGCTTAGAAGGTGATTTATAAATTAATAATAATATTTACACATCAATTTGCATTTTTAAAAACAGTTCCTCAGGTAAATTCATCAACATTTTAGTGCACAGTTCTACTAATATACAATTTTATGTACGCAATTCCCCTAATGCAACACACTTCTGTATATTATTGCCACCAATACATGCATTATAACATGCATTTCCCATTAATAAGTGCATTTGTGTACACATCTTAGGGCTCACCCACACTTCTTTTTGTGCTATGCATTATAGGCAGAGCTCTTGGATTTCTAGGTCCCTGTATGAGTGGTGCTCTTGTTGTTTTTGTTCCTCCACTTTCCCCTGGAAAACCTGTTGTTTACTGCTGAATCGGAGAAAGTGGCAATTGGGTTTTCTGCGTCTTGTCATTTGTTCCAATTCAACAGTAAACAGGGGGTTTTCCCAGGGAAAGTGGTGGGACAAAACCAACCAACAACCAACCAAACAAAAAACCTGCTTGGACCTGTTCCCAGACTGTGTGGCACAAAAGGAAGTATGGATGAACCCTTTTGCCTTGTCCCACATTGAATTTTAGTTTCTCTCCTGTTTGTTTGTTTGTTTGTTTGTTGCTGAGTGTGCCCTGCTCATCGACAGTTTTTATTATTATTTTATTATATATTTATTTACATCCTGCCTTTTTCACTGACAGGGACTCAAGGTGGATTACAAATAAAATAGAAACAGCTAAAAACATAGAAAAATAAAATAAAAACAATGAAACATTAGTAGAATGAAAACACATGCACACAATTAAAACACACAGATAATTACAATAAAAACAACACAGCGCAGCACCACTCCGGTTAATTAAAAGTAGTCAGTTCTCAAAAGCCTGTTGGAACATGAAAAGACAACGAGGAGGGAGCCAGTCTAGGCAGGGAGTTCCAAAGTCTAGGAGCAGCCACCAAGAAGGTCCTCTCCTGTGTCCCCACCAAGCGTGCTTGTGAGGGTGGCAGATCCAAGGGCCTCTCCCAAATATCTCAAAACCCAGGGATGTTCATGTGAGGGAATATGGCCTTTCAAATAGCTTGGACCTAAGTCATTTAGGGCCTTTTAGGTCTTCACCAGCACTTTGAATGGAAACAGATGGGTAGCCCGTGGAGCCATTGTAGCAAGGGAGTCGTCTGCTCCCTATAACTAGCCCTGGTCAACAATCTGGCTGCAGCTCTTTGAGCCAGTTGAGCTTTCTGGGCTCTTTTCAAAGGCAGCTCCATGTAGAGTGCATTACAGTAATCCAAAAGGGATGTCACCAAGGTGTGTCACTGTGGCCAAATCAGGAGCAGGCTCAGCTGGCACACTACCTTCAACTGTGCAAATGCACTCTTGGCCACCACTAGGACCTGGGCAACGGGGCTCAGGGATGGGTCCAGGAGAGGACCAAACTACGAACCTGTGTCTTCAGCTGGTGTACTGCCCCATCCAGCACAGGCTGAATCCCTATTCTCTGTTCTGCCTTCCGACTGACAAAAAGCATCTCTGTCTTGTCTGGATTAAGTTTCAATTTATTCACCTTCATCCAGTCTGTTACTGATGACAGGGACTAGATTGGAACCGAGACAGTGTCCTTGGATTTAGGTGGAAAGGAGAAATAGAGACCAAATAATCACCACCACCACCACCACCAGTGCTTTTTATTTTTAGGAAAAAGGTGATGGAACTCACCATGAAATTGTTACAGTAAGTGCCATACTTTTAACATTTGGGGGGAAAAAAAGGTTTTAGTACAGTCGTACCTTGGATCCCGAACACCTTGCAAGTCGAACATTTTGGCTCCTGACCGCCACAAACTTGGAAGTGAGTGTTCTGATTTGCGAATGTTCTTTGGAACTTGAATGTCTGACAGGGCTTCCGATTGGCTGCAGGAGCTTCCTGCAGCCAATCAGAAGCTGTGCTTTGGTTTCTGAACATTTTGGAAGTCGAACAAACTTCCGAATGGATTCCATTCAACTTCCAAGTATGACTGTACTGTGTATCCTTGAGTACCCCCAGAAAAAAAGGCAAATTATAATAATAATATAATAATATAATTTAAATTATATATAATATAATATAATTAATATAATGCTGTCTTCAAATATTTTGACTGCTAGGACTTTTTGGATAGTAGTTGCTGTGAAAAATAAGGCAGGGCTGGGATGGGAGCAAGTGGCCCGAGAATAAGAGGTTTTCATGCCACTGTGCTTTCGAGGCCCCTTCCTTGTTAAAGCAAGCAGCTTGGTTCTGGGTAATTCTGATTGCTTAAAAGCCCCAACTGTCAGAAGCACTTTGGAGTTGGGCCTTCAAAGTGGCTTCGACAGGCTCTGATGTACATAATTTATCAGGGTGAGTTCAGGCTGGGCCCCTCCTACGCAAGAAAGCCACAGATCAATGGAGCCGAGGAGAAGGGCTCCTCAGGTGGTGTAAACTGTGGAGTAAGGCAAATTCCCCAGCAGGTGAAAACTGGCACTTTCACGTTGACTTTGGCAGTGAGATGAGCGGAGGTGAGGATCTGGCCCAGCCAACAGAAATGTGCTCTCTAGTTCAGTACAAAATGAGCTTAAACTAAACTATTCTCCGGCACTAAGTACTCAATAGCCTCCCACTTGGGGAATGCATTTTGCCTCCACCTCCTCCTCGGTAATAATTTTCTGTGGCTTGCATAAATAATACAGTACCCTTCTATAAAAATACTCACGCGTGGTGCATCCTTAATTCTCAGAGGTAGGTGAGAATTGCTTTTCCCGTTGTATGACTAGGGAAACTAAGGCATAGAAAGGGACGGGGGCAGAGAACGAACAGAGGCAGGCATCTTTAGCACTGGGGCAAAATTTTGCCCTGTTTTCGCTCTAATGCTTTGGGTTTTCTGTTTAGCTCTGTGCCTCCACTATCTTAGAATCTAGAGCATGGCTTGATCAGGTTCTAGGGAGTTGTTAGGGAAAAAATGGTTCAGTTATCACTGTGCTTCCTTGGCATGTAAAAAGCTGAGAGAACCTGTTTTGCTGCATGCCCTAGATATATCCCATTGTGCAAGGCAATTGAGTTTTGGAGCCAGCAAACAAAGAACGTCCTCCTAGGGATGTTTCCATCGTCAATGAAAATGCACAAGACTGCCTTGGATAAATCCTGGTGAAATTAAATAGTTCCGCTTTGGAGCACAGAAACATATGAAGCTTCCTCCTGGCTAGTCAGAACATTGGTCCATCTAGCGCAGAATTATCTCTATCAACTGGCAGTGACTTTTCAGCTTGAGGTAGCTGTTTTTCCTAGCTCTACCTGAATCTGAGACCCTTTGCACGCAAAATGTGTGCTCTACCACTTAGCTATGGCACTACCCATAAAAGAATTCATCAGCAAAACAACAACAACAACAAAACTAGGCATCTGTCACTGAAGCCCACTTAACTGGTTACATCTGCAAGACATAGGGAACTTCTATAGGGGCATGTTGCACAGACAGGTTAGATGGGCTGATTCAGTGTTGTGGAGAAGTGTCTTTGGTGGTTGTTGTATAGATGTGAAGGAGCTGATATGCAGTTCTGTTTCCTTTTCCTACCTGAGCAGCATTAGGTGATCCCAACAATGATCCCTTGGGTTTTGTCACTGTGTGCCTAGCCTTCAGCTTAACACCCCAGCACTGCAAGTATCAGGAGCTGCTGGAGTTGACAGCCCAGCAGTTTGGAGCCACATGTGTATGAAATGATTAATAGCCATGGGATTTGGGGAGGAGAAAGTGATCTCAAGTTGGTGTAATGTTTTGATATATGTAGTGCAGCACGGAGGAATAAGTCTGCCCTTTGGGAAATTTAAACTGCGGAGGTGTGTGAAGGTATGGAACAGGAGGGAGCTGAAATGGGACTCACTATTCTGTGTCCTTTTTTATTTTTGGTTTAAAGATATTCTGATGTGTTACTCAGACTAGCCTCCCAAGTAATTTCATGCTCCAATCCTCACATCGGCATGACATTTCTGACTTATTTTCCATGGTAAATTTGAAAGCACTGGTTCTGGATTCTGCTGTACCTGATACTGCTGTGAAAAGCAACTGGAGAAAAGAAACTTTAGCAGCTCAATGAGTACATTAATGACAAAGATACTCATGTGCGTAGTTGAGAGCAGCTGTGGGCAGCCATCAGGTTTGTGGGAACGTCTTTTATTTTTTAACTAGTTCCCTCAGATCCATCAATTGGAGTTCACAGTTTGCACAGTGTCTCAGTGGAACAGGCAACATGAAAGAAGGGGAAAGAGTAATTCTGAGCCCACGATCAGCCCACGAATTAGTTTTCATTACCAGAGCTGAGCTCCCAGGCATTTCACGCACACAAAAACCAATCCTGGCCTCCCTTCTACCCCACCTAAATCTTCTTTGTTTTTAGCAGACTGAAAGATTTTTAAAGCCCGTCCATACTTTGGCTAAATGTGGATTGTGAACCCCTTGTGCCTCCCTTAATCTCCCCTTGTCTGTGTGGCATTCTGCTCTAACTACTACTGTTCCACACTTTCTCCTCCTTAAATCTGGAAAATCTCCATGCTTTGAAAAGACAAATAGGAAGAGAATGCTGTATGGATGTGGGGAAATTAAAGAAGGCACAAGGGGTTCACAACTCACATTTAGCCAAGGTATGGACAGGCCCTCAGTTGTTAAGCAGCTGGAAACCAGAAGCCCTGGTTGCTATATTGCAAATTGCTCAGAGACATATCAGAAGATCTTGATCTTACCTTTTGCCCATTCCTTGTTTAGAGTGCTTCTATCTTGGATGAATGAGCTGCAGGAGAGTCTTTTGGGAAACAGGGCTGTGGAAATGTTAAGGACTGAAGTTTTATGCACAAGTACCTGCCTGGGAGTAAAGCCCTGCTGAACACAGTGCACAGGATTGCTGTGCTGGTATTGTAGAATGCCACTCCAATCCTGAGTGGTGCGAGTTTCCAAGGGTTCCAGGCACTTACCCAGGGTCTGTGTTTCCTTTTGGAAATGAGGCACAGGGGAGACTGTGATGTCTTTAGGATATATGGTTTATTGACATATATATACAACCTGAGCCTACAATGGAAGGGTTCACAGCATTAACACTCCACTTAACACTTATATTCCGACTAATTCTGAGTTCAGGTAGGGGTCCCTCCCATTTTATATATCTTTTTATTTTTAATTTATTTCTTTTTTCTTTTTTCTTTTTTTTCTTATTTGATGTCCTCTGCTCAGGACCTTTATTAGGGTTCAGGGATTGTACACTCATGGGGGTGGAGGGACCCTGGGTGGGAGGCAGGGACCAATGTTGGTCTCCCAGGGTGAAAGGCGAAATGGAAGATCCCAGGGGAAAGCTGGGAGGGGCTACCACCTTCTGTCCATGGTAAGGGTTAAGAACTACCTTTAAGAGAAGTTTCTGTTTTTGGGGTTGTTGTTTTTTTTGCTCCTTCTAGCTGTTTCTGTTTTTAGTTTACATTCATTTTCTACATCTTATTGTAGTTTTTAACTGTAATAAAGATCTTAATGGCACAGAGCCTTTGCCATTAAGATCTTTGGCTTTCCTAAGGGCCTCTCACCTTCCTTTTGTGCCTCCCCACCTCCCATCTATGGCTTTCTGGTTTGCTTTTTTGTGCATGTTCATTGATGGAGCTGCAAGTCCACCCCCACCCAGAGAAAAAGCCGGATATTCCCTTGTAGGAGAGCTATTTTAAATCTTGAGCATCTTGGCTCAGGAAAGATAAAGGTTAGGAAATAAAAAGAGGCACTGCAATTTTTTTCTTTCTCTAGAGTTGGTAGTCATTGTCAAACATCTTGTCAATTGTTGCTGGGTCCTTGTGCAGAGTTTGCCCCAGTGATACATGTGGGCTGTCCTTTTTGCAAAAGGGAACTTTGGCAGAGATTGCCAGAGTCTCATATCCTCCTAAATGGTGACCTGCAAAGAGCCCTGCAGCGTTTGGACCGATACAAGCCTTGATGTTATAGCATACAGCAGGTATAGCTATATCTTGTCTTGTTGGTTCCGAGTGTTTGAAGGCAACCATGGAAGCCAAGGAGTGCCTGTCATTGTTACTTATCTACATCTGAAGTTGAGTCATTTGCAAAATTTGCTTCAGAATCTACTTTGTTATATTAGAGTCTAACTTTATCCTGGCAGTGTTGAAAAGAAAAGGTTGCAGATGCTCTATCCTCCAGGCTGTTAGCTTGGGGCTTAGCCTGGATTTGATTCAAGCCTGGTGCTTTCAGTATTGCACAGATCCCTGGTGTCTTCTATGGCTTGTAGATGGCATCCTTTTCAGCCTTTTCCTTTCACCCACCACTGCAGTCCTCTGACAAGAGAGTGCCCACCCTGCCCAGTCTAGCCACACAAGTCCTCTTTAATGAAAATGGCAACCCTAATTCTGATTCCCTGTGATTTTAGCTTTTTCTCTTTCTTGACTTCCCACTTGCGACATGGGGACAATGCCCTACGCTCCCTCACAGAGGAGATTATAAAAAGAAATTGATGCCTGCTTGTGATGTGCTGTCAGGTATATCGATAAAGTGGGCAGATAAGTGCACTTGAAAGGGAACCTAATGTTCTCTGGAGGCTGGAGGCAGATCCTCTGCTGGGGGTCATCTTGCAGCTGCAAGTCTTGTTGTACAACTGCTTGACAGCAGGAACCTGGAATGTGAGGGTTCCTTGATTTCCTCCGGTGGGGACAATAATAACCAGCCTCCTTGGGAGACATTTCTGGACCTGGGGATGGCACTGGGACCACTCATGGTACCTTACCAATATGCATTTTTTTACACTTTTGATCTGTCATAGAATGGAGGGATTCTGTGACCTCAAGACAGGGTGGGATAGGCTTGATTTGAAACCAAAGGGAGAGGCAAAATCATTGTTCAGAGATGAAGGTCAAGGCAATCTGGATGGCTGAGGGAGGTGGCTAGAGGAGACCAGCCAGTGGGATGCAATAGAAATGTAAAGAGAGCTGCATGAGGATATGCCTTGCTGTATAGACAAAGACTATAAGGGACTTGGGTGGCGCTGTGGGTTAAACCACAGAGCCGAGGACTTGCCAATCAGAAGGTCGGCGGTTTGAATCCCCGCGATGGCGTGAGCTCCCATTGCTCAGTCCCTGCTCCTGCCAACCTAGCAGTTCGAAAGCATAAAGTGCAAGTAGGTAAATAGGTACTGCTCTGGTGGGAAGGTAAACTGCGTTTCCGTGCGCTGCTCTGGTTCGCCAGAAGCGGCTCAGTCATGCTGGCCACATGACCCGGAAGCTGTACGCCGGCTCCCTCAGCCAATAAAGCGAGATGAGCGCTGCAACCCCAGAGTCGGTCACGACTGGACCTAATGGTCAGGGGTCCCCTTTACCTTATAGACAAAGCCCCTTTTATTTAGCTGGGAAGGCCCTTTGAAACAAAAATGTCATCCATCGTTCCTGGAAAGTGCAGATACTGGATACATGTCCTATCTTGAGAGGAATGCTATGAACAGGGGCAGCAACACTAAAAGTCTGAGTTGCTATAGAGCAGGCATGTGAGATCTTTGGAACTTTCTGGGGAACTACCCTGCAGACCACAGGGATCTACTGGGTATGTAAGAGATGAGGATGTGTCTCAAGTAACCTGGTCCTGAGCTTTATATGTCAGTATCTTAAATTTGGCCTGGTAGCAGATCGGCAACCGGTGCAAGGAGGGTGTTATATGCTGGCAGCCGTTTGCACCTGCAAGCAAGTAACTCTGGCAGCTGCACAGAAGATGTGAAATAATGATGATGAGAATTTGCAAGACAGGGAAAAGAAAGCTTGAAAGGTTGGAAAGGAGGTAATTCCCTTCTACTCATCCTTTCCCCAACATCTACAGTAAGTCCAGCACTATAATGAGCCCCAGGGCACAGGTGGCAGACTGGGAAAGGTAGGAAAGCACCTGTTCACTACTGCCTCCAGGTGCCAGCCCATCCTCTGCTTCCATCCTACTTTGAAGCTTCAGACCACCAGCAGCAGCCATCCTGGACAACCTGTGCCCCTCTCCCAATGCATTGCCTCATCAATTTCTCACTGGGCATTGCCTTCTGAGAGATCTCAGATAGTGGCTGCCTCCTCCTGCTAGTCCTGTTTTAAACAGCCATGCAGAGGCTGGATGAGATAACCTGTTCACTAGGTGGAGGGAGAGGAGACAGGTAATGGGTCAGGGTCCAAGGGCAGTGGTCTGAGAGGCATGCTTTGCTCTCTATCTTAGACAGCATGTCTTGGACAGGCCCTGGCCAATAGCATGGCAGGGAGGAGAGTATGGCAGAAGGTATCATCTGAATTTTGATGGATGGGGAAGAAAGAAGAGCAGTCCATCGCTACAACCGAAAAATATGGAAATGCCTGGGTGTGACCTAAGCAGTGGCTCAGGCGAGATTCACCTTGCCAGAGTATAAAGGCAAACAGAGCTCAGACACAGGTTTCATAGAATCATAGAACTGGAAGGACAAAAAGGGTCATCTAGTCCAGCCACCTGCAATGCAGGATTGGAGAAAATGGAAACTAACCACTTGGGAAATAACAAGCCTCCAGGCTGGTATGTACCTTGAGCAAACGTGAGCTGATAGAAGTGAAAGCAAACGTTTTAATTGGTTGATTCATTGCTAGACCCATTGGCTATGGCTGTACCGATGAGCGGCAGAAACCCTAATTTTGGCTTGGCCAGATTGACTCCCGTTAAATGATCTAATTGCTCAATTTGTACTTAATTGCTTGCAGCAGCAACCCTTCAGAGGAGAAAGGTGCCATCTTACCCAATGGATATGTATATCAGACATTAACAATTTTCCTTCCAGGACAGGCACAGTAAAGCAAAGGAGCAAGGTCCTAATCAGGCACAGTGACTCAGCACTATAGGACTGTTAGCTAATATGATTACCATTCTAATTTTGTGGCTCAGGTAGCTCCCAGGTGTTTCATTCCCTTCGGTGGAAAATTCATAGGGGAGAACAATGTCTGCAAAGTAGTGAACAAGTGCACAGGGAAAGAAATTATAATTCACTCCAGCAGCACAGAGACCTGTGTCGGGTGGATTCTGGTGTGTCTTCTCAAAAGATTACTCCCTAGCCCTTTCATCTGTGGTAGTAGACCATTTCTGATGACCCAAGGGTGTAATTCATAGAAAAGGGCCATAATTCAAAAGGCATGTCCCAGGTTCAGTCCCTGGCATCTCCATGTAGGGCAGGAGAGACCCCTGACTGAAACCCTGGAAAACCTCAGTGGTCTGACTTCCTGTGTATCCAACCAGATTCCTACGTATGGCAGATTCCTATGTATTTAACTAGTAGCCCAGCATCTGGAAGAGGTATTGCATGTTGCAATAATCTCTGGCCCATTTCTACGTGTACACACATCTCTCAGGCCTGTGGGTCAAATTTGACATACTAGACTTTTCCATTTGGCTTGTAAGGCATTTTTAGCAAGCCATACCCAAAATACATATGTGGCAAGTGTGGGCTTGCCTTTGCAGGCTCTGCCGATTGGCCATAAAAACTAGCCAGGTGAATTAGCACAGTCCAAGCACATATTCCATCCATGCAAAAGCACTTGAGGGCATGGAATAGTGTCTGCAAGGGATATGGCATGGGGAAAGACCTCAGGGCTGGATGGTGAGGCCTGGAGGACTATGCTTGACCCACAGGCTTTTG